TCAAAATTTTAAAGTTTATGAACATTTTTGGCCCTCTATGAAGTGATATGCTTTTCTTTTTGTCGGAAATCGCTGGCTGATTTCTAGGAGATGCTTTGCTCTTAACACTCTATTCCCTGCCTTGAAAATTTATCCCTTTCCTCCCTGTCCAGTATTTTTTGTACTTTCCTTCCTGCCTTCTTGCCCTTTGTTGGGTTTTGGGGTATGATGTGCTGTTCTGGACATCCTGCTTGCTTAGTTGCTGCTCAGCTGATTTACTACACTCTTCTCAGCCACTACTGTGGGCACGCTGATCCACTGTCCTACTTGTTCTGCACTGCTGCTACTCAGCTGATCCACCATGCTGCTCAAAGCTGCTGGTCTGCTGCCACCTAGTTCTGTTTCACTGCTGCTCAGCTGGCCTCCATTTGCACTGCGCTGCCTCCTAAATGAAGTAAGTGAGGATGAAGTAATGACAAATAGCAGCAAGGAGCCATGGGCCAAATTCCAAAGGTCTCTGGCAGTAACATTACTGCAACCTGTAAAAAAAAAAGAATGAAAATGGTTTTTTTATATGTAAATATCTTATTAGCAAAGTTTAACAACTAAAAGATAAAAGGGAATTAAAGAGAATTAAAGGAAAGAAAAAAGAAATTTTGGCCACTCAGTCCAAGCACCAGTTCTATGCAGGAAACTGGTTTAAAGAGGGACAATGAATGCAAGCTTCTAAAAACTATTTTGGTCAAATTTCCAAGCATCATAATTTATAAATGTTTTTAAAGTTCATGTTAGGGGTGGGACTCAGAGAGTTCTCTGTTAATTTATCCAGAGGGTTTATAGAATTCTCCCTCCAAGATTGGATGTCTACCTCAGCTCCTCAACATCATCAGGTCCTTTCATGAGGAAATGAAGAGCACTGTAGTTTTTGATGGCTTAACATCAGATTCTTTTGACACCCGAAGTGGAGTGAAACAGGGCTGAAGGATGCCAATGAGAAGTTTAGAAGAAAGGTGGGAAGATAATGCAGTTTAAATGATTTTTAAAATGCATATGCCACTGATTCCCAGCAGCTTATATTTAAATAGAAGCATCACTAGGAGCTACATATATGTGAGATGCGGAAGGAGCAATGCAATCATAATTCCATTGGAATTATGCCATCCACATGATTGCTACACTCAATAACCTCTGTCACAACCCTCCCAAGTGTAGTCAGTTTACTAATGGAGTACAAGAGCTGCCTGCTGAAAGAAGTCAGATAGCTCCCCCCAATGGTCTGAACCAGCTCACTAGGCTGGAGAAAGCAAGACTGGATCTCTCTACAAGGGACCATTTTTACCTAACCCCTTTGAGAGCAAAATGCCTCTTGTCAGTCTCTCCATCATGGAGCTCTTTTGCTTTCAATGAGGCTGAGTAAAGAAGTGCCTCAGTGAGATATATTTTTCCTGCAGCTTCTTTGAGAACAAAATGTAGCTTGCCAGAGAGACCTTTGGGATCCCAATTTCTATTCTCAAGCACAGACAGCCCTGCATTATCTAGCTCTGCATTTTCAAACTTTCTGTATGGAAAGCCATTCAATGCTATATTTTTGAAAATACTTTTTTTTCAGCCAGTGTCTTTGCTGCTTGGAGGAGAGAATGTGCCCTGCACCTAGGGCAAAATCAGTCTGGCAAGCAGCCTATTCACTGTCAAAGAAGTTAGCTGAAAATGGTTTGCCGCCCAATGATTTCTGATGGACCACCTTCAGTTAAACCCCAGGAATCGGAGGGAATTCTGTGGCTGTTGCTTAAGACCTTCCCTCCTGGCTTTCCTGCTGCCTTTTTGAGGAAGCTGGCAGGGAAGATTACAAATGGCAATTACATGATCACAGAGGACTTGGCATCATGTTTTATGTGTGAATAGTTCCCAAGAACCCAGATTGCAATTAGGTGACTTTGGGGATGCTGCAAGTTCAGATGTGTGCATGGGGGTTAAGTATCTTAGTTCAGTGCCATTGTATTTTCTTGTGGTTGCTGAATAAATAATCATCAGTCAGACTGATAACACAAGAGAGTGATTAAAAACTCAGACATAATACAGCCATTTTGAGGGCTTCCTGGTCCCAAACTTGATTCAAATACAATGACTTCAGACTTCTTCAGAAGGTTGATAGGATTGACCCCTATCTGATGGAACCCATAATGTCTTTTCTACTTGACTTGATGGATGGACAGATGTAATCAGGAGGACGTGGTTCCCTCAAATAACCTGGCTCTATCCCATGTAGGGCTTTAAAGATGACCACCAGCACCCTAAATGTCCAGGTTTTATGTGTTTTATTGTTTTTATAAATTCAAAAGAAAAGCATTTCCCCATGGAAATAATTCTTTCTAACTAATTCCAAAGTGTTATATTAAATTTATCTGGATCCTTAATCAGTACATATTTTTTGCTATTTTGTTATTGATTCAGTTCTGCTATTTTCTCTAAAAAAAAAAAAAGTCCTTAAAGTCTATGGAGATTCTCAACCATCCAGTTCATAGCTGTCCTAAAAGTGCTTTTTCAGAAGGCAACTGGGCTTCCCCAACCGCCTTGGAAACATTTCTCTCATCAAGAAACTTCTTTATCGCTGACCAAATGCTGAAGGGTGAATGATTTATGTTTTTTGCAGGCATCTGCTTGTCAGCATTGTTTGCAAGAGTGTTTGATGCCACTTGGGGGTTTCTCTGTATCCTCAGGATCACCTGAATATTTTAAACAGGTGTGGGGCCTTCTTGGCATTGCTAAAAGGATTGTATTGTACTGTAAACCAGATTTAGATGGTGTCCTCAAACTTTTATTTAAAATTTATTTCACTAAGATTTGAAAGAAAGTCATCCTATGCTGTAAAACAGGACTCCTCAAACTTTTTAAACAGGGGGCCAATTCATGGTCCCTCAGACTTTGGGAAGGGAAGCTGGACCAGCTGGGTAGGAGTGGCCATGTGATTGGGTTGGTGTGGCTAGGTCATGTGACTGGGTGGGCTTGGCCAATTTAACAGTCCATTGAACAATGCACACAAATTAAACTTTAATTTGTTTTGCCCCTAGGTAGTGTTTTAGTTGCTTTTGATTGCATGTTGCTCTTTTGATTGCCTTTTCTTTTTACTAGATCATTTTTTCAGTTGTTTAGGAGTCTAGTGGTCCACTTCAGGAAACTCAGTTTTGCAGCAATTCTTTTCAGCCCCAAGGAACTTGAGAAATCTCTCTCCCCCTCTCTCTTTCTCTCCCTCTTTCTCTTTCTGTCTTTCTCTCCTCCCCCTCGTGGGGTTTGCAAAGGTTAGTCCTGTGCTCAGCTAAAGGATGGGTGGTGCAATGAGGGCAGGACAGCCTCACGGACCTGCACTGCCAGATTAATTGCTTCGGCAGGCCGCATGTGGCCCCAGGGCCGTAGTTTGAGGACCCAAGCTGTAAAACTTGACCTGTGATCAGTTTGTCATTTCTTCCCTCACCCATGGCAGTGGATAATGTCACCTGATGTTTTCAGATAGATGTGAAACTATAATGGAGAGAATACAGATCCCTGTGAAACTCTGCATTCGGGTACATCCCAGCCAGACTGATTCCATCCTATCCAAAAATTTTAATCTTCAGGTTGGCAAATAATTCTAAACAAAATTGTCTTAAGTGTTTACCATTTCTTCTATTTAGTCAGGCTTGGAGGGCTGTTACAGAATGGCTGCTGGACATCAACTGTCTATCTCAGCAAAGTTTAATTATGCCAGATGAAATCAGATAATTATATTAATTCATTAAACTCCCTTTGATAATTCAGATTGATTCAGGGCCAGATTCAACATCCTTCCCTCAGCCCTTCTATGTAGGACACTTAGTGAGGTTCCTAGGGCCAGTTAGCCCTGCCCTTGTCCTAAAGGTTCAGGTTCATGTCATCCTTCATGTGCTGTTACATTGTGCATTTTATTACAATACCGGAAGAAGGTTTATCTTTATTTTGTTCCCTTTTCTTTCAGCTCAGCCTGAGGAAGTTTATGTTGACTTTCTTCTACTTAGATGGAGTGGAGCTTCCTCTTAAGGAAAGTCTATTGCATATAACAGCCAGGTTTTGTATGACAGAGGCAAATGTTTCTAAACAATTGGTTTTAGGCATACATTGTTAATTAGTATTTATATATTTTAATAAATCTTTTCAGTTATCTATAATTCATAGATAAAATTTTAAGAATTTATAGGATGATTTGTGTCCATGAGGTTAAATTATTTTGCTGTAAATTGGATATTTGTATCCCTTTCTAAATTTAAGCACTGTAATAAAGGATAATAGGAAAGTGAGTGAACATGACTTGGAAGGGAGGAAAATTAGGAAGGTTAAATTATATTTTCACTTGTGCATATCATTACAGTAAATCACAACCCTTTATATGCATAGGTATAGCTGTGTCCACAATAATATTTCTCCCTCCCTCCTTCCCCTCTCCCTCTCCTTCTGTTTCTCTGTGTGTGTTTGTTGATTTTCTCTCTCTACGTCTTCCATTATTTTAACAAGACCCTGATACTGAGTCAACAGATAAGGACATTCTTATTCTAAGTAGTTTCACATGGTATTTATCTTGGGGGGAAAAAACAATCTTAAGAGATTCTTAAGTATCAGAATAGGCTGGATCTTGTATTTTCCATTGTGGGGTCTTAGTTAATAGTTAATGTTTAACTTTTGTTTTGTTCTACTTCTGCTCAAGCCACCGCATCAGCTGGAAGACCTCAAAGGCAAAACAACTGTTTCAAAAAAACCAAAACAAAAACAGATGGGGAAGTATGAGATTGTTTGACTTTATGGCATAATGTGTGTTTGAAGAGCAGGAAACACCTTCCACACTGAAATGTAGGCAAAGAGATATGACACTCAAACACACACTTGTATAGTTAAATTAATATACTGTTCCTTGCTCCCTGTTAAGAAGTTGCACAATATCTGCAATGCTCGTTTAGCTTTATTTTAAGGAATATTTGCCAAATTTTACTTCAATGCATAAATGTTTTAGAGATTGATACATAGCAATTTGATTCATGTAAAGGAAGATAAAGCAATAGCAGGCAGCAATCTCAGGTCATTGGTCATATCTTGAAGACATCCTGGCTGGTAGATGGAGATGGAATTATTTTCCTCTGGCACTATACAAATGAGATAAAATAATAGTTTTATCATAGTAAGTTTAAGGTAAATTCTATTATCCGAACCTGAAAATCTCTCCTGCCCTCCTTCTGCCTTTGAAACACCTGTTCCTCCTTATGTCAATGCCTTGGAACGCTTTGGATGGCAAAGAAGGGTATCCCAATGTGTATCGATTGTGGTATATTTATAAGAGGAGCGTTTACTTACGGTACACAGCATGTCAATCCATGTCTACAGTCCCATCTGTGAATGTCCTTAGTGCCTTTTGGACAGATCTCAAGGCATCGTCCTCTTTTACGATGACACAGGCTCTGGGCACTACCTATGAAGAGGAAAAGATTAGACAGGGAATCTTTGTTATTTAGATAGATATTTACTTCTGAGGCATCACTTTCTTTTACAGAATTGCAGGATTCCTATGAATTCAGGAAATTCTCTCTGATCAAGGAATCCATTTCTACTAATCTCCCTTTATCAGCCCAATATACCATATATCAACCCATGTTTTAAGCTTGGCCTAGAGCTTAATTGGCAAGTATGCCTGCAGTATGGAAGAAAAAAATCTGATTCACACCAAAGGAAGACCTTGCTGTGATATATTTCTCTTCATTATTACTATGGATCCTTGCTTGCTAAGAAACAATCCTGAATTATCATGGCTGGTTCTGTGAGTGCTTTGAATGGAGATGTTGAGTGAGAATGTTTAACTTCCTTTGACCTTCAGGATCTGGTTTACCTTTGGCTTTCTTCCTCTTCCGTTAATGCTTCTAATGCTGGTCTTCTCTCCTCTTGAAAAGCGGAACATTTGTGACATTTTGCTGCAATATCTGCTCTTTTTTACAAATTGAATATCCATAGATTCACTAAGCAATTAATTTTTTTTACATTTTTTAATCTCATCTTTATTTCTTAAAATAACTCAAACTTACCTAATACTCCTTCCTCCTCCTATTTCCATGAAAACCAAGTAGCAGTCATAAGACATGATAAAAATTCTTTAATTTCACAGCATACGGGGAGATTTAAACCTACTTTCAACTGGGGAACTCTGACCACTAGAGAATTCCTGGAAGCCTGGCACTCTGACAAATTAGCTATTAATAGACACACAGACATAAACAACATGTACTTATTGTGCAAAAGAGACAACCAACAAGCCAAAAAGAGAACAAAAAGATCAAAATATCTCCTCACCAGCAACCAACATCCATATGATCTTATATTAGTACTAAGCTTAACATCTGACCAACCATCAAGAAGTAAACAATATCCCATTCAAAGAAGCACTAAAACGTTAATTTATAAACAGTACAACCATAAACCTCCCAAGACCTCTCCTATCAATACTAACAGGGCTAGAATATAAATTGAGAGCAAATTCCATTCCTTACCAATGTTAATTAGTTTGGTAATGAAACAACTGTAAAAAAAGGAGAAGCTGAGAGAATACCAAGGATGCCTTCCCCTATTTTACCACAACATCAGCCCTGTCAGGTGCTTTGTGCTGAGAGAAGTCCAAATTTACCCAGCCAGCTTTAATGCCAAAGGTGGGACTAGAACAGTCTCCTGATTTCTAGCTTGGCGCTTCGATAACTACACCAAACTGGTTTTTTACTGCCCCTCAAATACTTCATAATGGTTTTGCTGAAAATTTGGTACACCAAAACTAAAATGAACTAACCAATAACCTACAATAATAAAACCTCCAGTTATGCTTTGTAGAGAATAGTGAATGAATGAATTGGTTTTCCAGTCCCTCCTTGATGCTGTATATCTCCCGGATCTCAAGTGTTAATGCAAAGAAAAATCAATGGCATATTATTCAAATGTTTGAAGGCTTATGTTATCAATAGTCCACAGTGTTCAAAGCGATTTCATTACATAAATTAAAAGATGTTGAACATTAACCTACTTTCAGTGATGATCAAACTTGCTTAGAAAGCAGTGAGTTATCAGTCATTTCTCACTTATCAATAATTTAGTTTCTTACCTGGTTCAGACAGGAATGCAAGGAAAAGGAATGCGAACAGCAGATAAAAGATCTTCATGTTGGGATTGGTTCTGGACCAAGTGTATTTCTGGGATAGGACACAGCTCTCTATTTATGCAGTTATTATGATTGCATCACACTGTGAAATATTGCAACTACTCTTAAATGTAATTGGCTTTTTGTGTTTCCTTCTATTGAAACACTTTTGAGGGTTAACTTGCAAAAGTCCTTGCAAGACCAAGAGAGTTAGTTGAATAGTTACATGGTTCTGCTTATATATAAAATACTTTGGAATGATAAATGTTTGGCTCCATTATTGGTGGCCTGCAGAGCTGACACAATTAGTTACATGCAAATGAATTACTTATCAGGTAGATTAGTTATGTTTGGTTTTAATGAAATGTAGCTACCATCTAAAATATGCTTACTGAGAAATTCTCTCTCTCTTTCTCTCTCTCTCTCTCTCTCTGTGTGTGTGTGTGTGTGTGTGTCTCACACACACACAATCTGTCTGTCTGTCCATCCATCTGTCTGTCTGTTTGTCTGCCTACTCTATTTATCTATCAGCTATCCAATCTGTCTGTAATCTATGACCTGGATGTTCGGATTTGGAGACACCTGGATCTCTGTACTCAGATTTTTTGGGAAAGATGATCTGATGAAAAATAGAAGATTTAAGGTCTTCACTTACAATGGCAAAGTTCATTGGCCTAATAAGAGATATTGGGAATGGGGAGAATGAAAATGGAAAATGGAGTGACTATGTGATTGAATCCATTCATTTGTCTATGTATCACTTCTATACTATGTGTTATCAAGAAAAGACACACATGGTGAAGTGGTTCATTCAGATGTTAGTTCTTATCAACATAAGAATAGAGGGCTGAATGTCCACACCAAAAGCAAAGAGCTGGAGAATGTAGATAGATCAGGCTCCTTACAAGGTATACATTGACTTGGAAAGGTGGAAGGAAAAAACTCATGAAATGAAATGTCAGCTGCCATGGAGGCTATAGAGATGTAGAGATGATTTCAAAGTGAAACACAAGACATTCTCCCATACCTCCACTGACCTACTAACTTGAGATCTGTCACATAACACAATTTTCAGACTTAGTTATAGAATTATACTCTTAGATCCAGAGTAAACACAGCTGTTCAATATTTGCTTGGGACACCTACAGCTGTGGACTGCCAGATGAAGGGATTTGTAGTGAGATGAGTGACAAACAGATTTAATAAATGAAAATAAAATGTATTCACCTGGCAGAGCAAAAGAGTTACACCATTCAGTGTCAGAATTTCACATTCTTCACATCAGCTCTCTTATTCAACCAGAAGAAAAGTGCTCTAGAAAAGGGACAACATTTCAGGCTGTATTAGACTAGTCCCCCTTTTTTTCTCCTCCCTATCTTTGATACATTTGCTTTGAGAAAGGATTCGAAGAGTGAGGGATTAGGACAAGAATGGGAATTAAATCTACTTGAAGATGTAACAATTTCTGTATTACATGGACTCTGCTGATAAAACTGATATGAGCAATCAAGATCAAAAAATGCTGCAGTGAAAAGGCATCAGTGATGGTCCTTCGTACAGTCAAGTAATAAGCCTGGTCATTGCAGGCAATGGGCAGGACTTGGGTTATTGATAGTTTCACCGCAACGAAACTGTCAATTCAGCCACATCTCCCAAACTTTGCCTTGAGGGTGGAGCACTTTTTTGATTGCATATGTTTTATTTTTAGTTTTCCTTTAACAATCAACGTTTTTTATGGACAGTGCAGTGACTGGGTTAATATATTTTTCACACAATGTTAACAGTAATAATACAACTACATATACAGAGTTTTTATCATCCAACTGCTAACCTTAATATGCTCATTATAATTATAAGATACTCTTTTATATATCAATATATATTATACTATTTTCCCAAATTGTACTTATTTCTTTATTTTTTCCAGTTTGTTAGGGTTTTTCTTATTATTTTTAAACAATATTATTCTCTCTTTATGATTTTTATCACTTTCTCCAAAAAAATACAATATGTAAACATCAATAACATTTCTTCATACAGTATACTTTTAACCCTGTTAAATCACTAATGTTTTAATATTATAAATATCACTGTTCCACCACATTTTCAATACCTCAATTTTCTGTAAACACCAATAAAACCAATTGTTAGTAAAATGTAATCAGTCTCAAGATTATATCTCTATGTCCCCTGAATTTAAGTCCTTTTAAGTTATAGTTTAAGTCCTTAAAAACTATATATTTCAATATATAGTTTTCACCCTGTTAATCATAATAATGCATTTAAATATACCTATTCCTTGTCATCCAGAAATGGATGGAGCCCATTTCTATGGAGTATGGATGGTCCCCCCAATAGCTTTGCTCTAAAAAGATGAACATGCAAAATCAGAAGTTAATTAACATTATCTGACATTAATAGACCCGTGAGGCTGAAAATGATAAAATTGGCAGTTCTAGAATGGAAAAAAAATCAACTTAATATTATAGTTAATATTTAATATTGTAGCTCTTTGCTCAAGAACCATAAGTAGAAGGTGATGAAGAAACTGTGGAAGCAAACTTTATCTCTAAAAGTGTCATGAGACCAAGAAACATGTTTGTTGTAATCTTGTCGTAATCCAAGAAATGGCCAATTACCTTGTGTAATGAGTCTGTGCAGCAAGGGTAATGAGGAAACCTCAGGGACAAACTGACTTGATGTTTAGAAATCACATTAAGTAAGATAATGGAAAGTGAATCCATTGTATAAGAGGGCACAATGTTTGGATGGTTTTCTTCTGTATTAGGTTTTGTGATTCCATATATTTTACTGCTTTTTTAGTATTAGCAATCCTTTTCTAAGGAATATGGCTTGATAATTGGATGTGATAACACGGAGGTAACAGATCAAAGTGATTCAACAAGTCATTTTTGCTTTTAGCATTTTTATTATGTTGAGTTTTTAATCATTCAAAAGATGGAACTTATATAAAGTTTCATGAGAACATTTTACACATCCTATTTCCACCTGCAATCCCTCACAATTTAATTCACCGAGTTATCATTTTCTGTTCACTCTCTGCAGTACTGACGAGATTTTGTGGTGCTTCTTTGTCCAAGAAGGGGGCAGTTTTAAACCTGAAATGTTCTTCATCCAATTAACCTATAGAAGAGTGTGTTCCCTTAGTGGTTTTTAAAAAAGCTCTGATAGAAAACTGACAAACAAAACTGTGACATAACATACACTGAAAACCTCAGAATGCAAACATGTGACCAAATGATCTCTGCTCAATACTGTATATTCTCTCCCCACTTTTTTGGGGTGCCATTCCTTGTGCTGGAGAGGCCTTAAATCAAACTTGCACTTAAGAGTGCCTTCCTTTTTATAGATATAATGAAACTAAAGCTCCCACACGCCCACTTTCTAGCCTGTTGCCTTGACCATTAGACCAGTCGGGGTGTCCTGAGTGAAAAGAAATCAAATTGTATAAGATTATTTGAAGTGACTAAAGATAAAGATTGTTAGAAGTAAAAGAAAGGAACATAAAGTTGGTTTATTTGATCAAGGTGAAAATGGCAAACTTTTATGGGTCTTTGCTGATATCAGGACTCAAATGATGAGATTTTATAGATTTGTTTATAGTTAAGAGATGTGGTGCTAAAATCCCAGATTCAAAAGGTCCTGAATACGAAAACCACTCAGCCTTGTCTGGTTTCTGAGTGATTTCATCCTTCTTGTCCTATTACATTGCCTATTGGCAATAGTACCTGAAGGAAGTTCATTTTTCTTCTGTTCTCTTTGCTTCAGGTTGGTCTGAGGAATTTTATGTTGACTTTCTTCCACCATAAAAATAGAGGTCTATCCAATATAACTATTTTATATGTGAGAGACAGAGACAAAGAGAGAGATAGAGACAGAGACAGACACACACAGAGAATTTGTGATCTCATTCCCAAAACTGATTTCTGCAGTGCATTTTCTAGGATCCTCCATAGCTATTGAGTCATCAGATGGAGGCATGTTTATTTTTAGTAGTACTCCATGGGGTTTTGCTTAATACATTTATTTATATATTTATCTTTTGTCTTTTATTGAGAGGTCTTAATATTTTAGCATTTGCTTTGTATTATTTCTTCCCAAGCAAAAATACATTCAGCTAGAATGTATTTTTCTTGGTTCAATTTGTTTCTTTGTCTTTGTGTTACTCCTTTTTATTTTTATATTTTAAATTTTCTTTGGCAATTAAAAAAATATTTATTTATTTTAAAAATTCCAACAAGCAACTGGACTGGACTTCTTTGGGTTTTTTTCCCCTTGAGAATGTTTCACTTCTCATCCAAGAAGCTTCATCAGTTCTGACTGAATGGTTGGATTCCACAATGCAGGTCAATAGCAATGCAATTACTTCAGTAAATTAACAAATAGGAAGAGACATTCTGTGTGACTTTATGGCACAATCTATGATTGGCGAGCAGGACATATCTTCCAAACTGAAATGTATTCAAAGAGATATGGATGAACTTCTTGTAGTCACCTGAATATAATGTCCCACATCCCCCTTAAAGAACTCACACAACAAATACAACACAGTTGTTGTATTTCAAGGGCATAAATATGTTAGAATCTGATAGATAGCAATTTAATTTATATAAAGAAAAAAAATAAAGCAATAGCAGGAAGGGATGTCATATTATTGGCCAGATCTTGAAGATATCCATGGTGGCAGATGGAAATAGCATTGTTTTGCAGGGAGCCTATGGAAATGAGGTAAATAATAGGATGATTAAAGTGAGTGTAAGGTATTTTCTTCCAAATGAGCCACAAAATTCTCTTCTACCCTTCTTTTTTTTTTACAGTCTTTTCTTTGAAACACTTTTCCCGTTCACATCAATGCTTTGCAATGATTTATGAATGAAAACAATATCAGGCAGAGTATCTCAATAAACATCTGTGGTATCTATACTAGAAGAGATCTTTCTTACTGTCTACAGCATCTGCATCCCTTTGGACAGTCCAATTTCCCAAGATCTTTGATAGTGAGTAGAACATTGAATGCAAGCAATTG